GTGGGTAGGTATACCTGTGTATTGTGCAGTGCCCTCAGAGGTCAGAAGAGGGTGTCAGAGTCCCTGGAACCGGAGTTATGGATGGTTGTTACCTGCCATGTGGGTGCTGAGAATTGAACCCAAGTCCTCTGCAAGAGCAGCCAGTGCTCTTAACTGCTGAGCCATCTCTCTAGCCCCATATTTTGTAGTTTTCATGTATATGTCTCTTTTGCCTCTTTGGTTAAATTTATTCTAAGATATTTTATTATTATTACTTTTTTTTTTTTGAGCTTAGGTTTCACTCTGGCTTCAAACTTGCTTTATTGCTGAGGATGAAGTTTTTTTTGTCTTTTTGACACAAGGTCTCCCTGTAGCCCCAGATGGCCTGGAACTCACTTTGTAGACCAGGGTGGCCTCTAACTCAGAGAGATCTGCCTGCCTCTGCCTCCCGAGTGCTGGGATCACAGGTGTTGCACCACCATGCCCAGCTAGGATGAACTTCTGATCTTCCTACCTCCACCTCTTGATTGCTGAGATTCCATACCTGTGCCTGGTTTTTGTAGTGCTGGGGTTCAAACCCAGGGCTTGGTGCGTGCTAGACAAGCACTCTACCAACTGAGCTACATTCCCAGCCTATATGTTGATCTTATATCTTACAATCTTACTGAATGTATTGATTCTAATAGCTTTTTGTGGATTCTTTTGTAGGATCATGTGGTCAGTGAATAGAAATGACTTTACTTTTCCTTCCATTTTAGATAATCTTGGCTCTTCTCTCTGGTTAGCCTTTCTATCATTGGCAGTAACATTCTCTGTAATCTAGGCAGGCCCTGAACTCCTGCCTCAGACTTCTAAGTGCCAGAGATCACAGATGTGTGCCAGCAGGCCTGGCAGCAATAGCACCTGTTTACATACCCGACTGCAATGGATGTTGCAAACCTGTATCTCCATTGTTTGTGACATTTCAGTTGTATTCTGCATTCCCATTTCCCCTCCCAGCATCTTGCCTCGTCAGTCATCACTGGTTTGCTCAGTAGCCCTGTGATTCAGTTGTAAGGCGTTCTTTCCCTAGTTTTACCCCACTTTGAACTGGTTCTTCACCTGTGCTTGCTGCCAAAGCTGATGACCTGATCTTAGTACCCTCATGGTGGAAGGAGAGAACCAGCTCCTTCAAGTTGTTTTCTGACCTCCACATGTGTGTGCTTTGGCATGCACACCCCCTGCAATACATAAATAAATGCAATCAACAAATGTCTTTCTGCCCCTCTGTTCCCTGCTGAGGAACCTGCCATGATTCTCTGTGCATCACAGCAAGTCTGAACTCACCCTGACATTTAGAGTCTTCATAGCCCAGTGCCATGTCACCTCTCACCTCACTGCTCTCATCTGTTGCTTACGAAAATAGAAACTACCCATCTACTATAAACATTACTGTCTCTAGGTTTCTAAAACTCCCGGCAAATAAATCTGACCCCTTATTTTTCTCAGTGCTTTCATGTGTGTCTCAGCCTCATAATGTTAAAAATGCCGTTTTTCTTAAGTTCTGCAGGTGTATTCCACATGTATTCAAAGAACTGAAAAAGATTTGTCTTTTGTGTCTGAAGTAAGAAAGAAGCAAGGTTTAGGACATTAAATGCACTACAAAAAAATATTTGTGGTCACAGACAATTTCTGGAAGGATAAACCAGGAACTCTTAATAGTGATGGCCCCTGAGGAATGGAGTGGGAGGAAGAGGAGCATTTCCCTTCATAAATAGGATGACCTATTTAAAGTAGTAGTGAGACAGTTTTAATTTAGTTGCAGTCTGGCTAGGCCAGTTACTGTTTCTTAGAAAACTTGATGGCTTAAAGTTTTACTTATTTTTTATTGTCCTATAATCCTGCTTGTTGTGTGTTGTGAAGGGAATTACTGTCTTTAAGAGAAGTCTTCCCCCTGGTGAGGTCTGTTTTGCTCCCAAGTCACTTTGCAGCTGTGGTTTAAAGCTAGAGCCTTCTTCAGAGATGGGCGGGTCTGTCTGTCTGTCTTTTTACTCCCTCTGGGCAGGAAAAGAGTGGTTTGTTCTGTGAAAAGTGTGAATTCAGTCAAGGAAATGCAAACTTGTTGGTTCCTGCAGTTACTTGACTTCATTGTACCTGGAGCACAGGCTTTGTCTTGTCTGCACTAGGGTGTGTTCTGTTAATATTTAAATCCACTTTCTGTTAAGTGCCCAGGAAGCTAGCAGGGAATTAGGAATGCCACCGAAGGATCGTGATTGAGTTTACTTTGCCATTTTAAAAATCAACTTTTGTAATTTTTTTGGTAATATTTTGTAATTTTCTTGTGGTTTTTTTTTTTTTTGGGGTGGGTGCTACTATGTAGGCCTGGAACTCAGTGTAGGTGAGGCTGGCTCCAACTTGGAGCAGTCCTGTTGCCTCTGCCTCTTAGTGCTGGGGTCAGAGGTGTGCCCCACCACACCTTGCCTTGAACAATTAACACTTAGTATGTAATGCTGGGGCTGGGGGTGTAGCTGGGTTGGTAGAGTGGTTGCCTAGTGTGCTCGAAGCCCTGGGTTCGATTCTGTTGTCATACTCTGATGAGGACAGTCACATTACACACTCTGCTGTTATTGTTTACCTGCTCTTGAAAGTGTTTTTTTAAGATTACATTGTGATTTAGCATTAAAAGAAAAACAAAAAAGGAAGTAAAAACAAACAGCTTGTGAATGAAGAAACAAATGGAAAACAGGACTAGAAGGGTAAATTTGGTGTGTGTGTGTGTGTGTGTGTGCGTGTGTGTGTGTGTGTGCGTGTGAAGAACATTCAGGTAGGAATGATTGCAGTTTGAAATTTTTCTTGCAGTGCTACAATCAAGTGCTTTATGTTACCCAGAGAGGAAAACACCTAAGTGTGTTCAGCCATGTTTAGTTTTGTTGCTGAGAAACATGCAAAAGAATTGCCCATCATCACATGCCAGGAAGCGTACCTGGAAGCCAGAAGTGGCTGCCTTCCTCAGCAGGAATGAGAAGATTCCAACCTGCCGGAAGCTGGTGTGACCGAGTCCTCCTAGGCTGTTGTAGTTTCAGTGGCAGCTGTTTTTCTCTGCGCATGCAACTGATGGCACCTTTGGGTCAGACAGTGTTTGCCTTTCTACTTCCTGATGATAGCTTGTTTAGAACAGACTGTACTACTAGGTAATAAGCTTCTGATAGTATAAAGGCAGGCAGATTTTTAAAAATAGAAATTTATTACCATGCAAGGTTCGAGGTTAAAATATAGGAGTAGTAGGTGTCCTCTCCCGCTTCTTTGTCTTGGAGACTACTCGTGGTTTGAGAACAGACTGTGCAGATAGGCAGGCTGTGCAGGCAGGCAGGCTGGCTTCAAATCCCAGCTTTCTTTCCCTCACCCTGCCCCTAGGAAGAACTTTGTGGAAGTTACTTCTCTGTGATCACAGACTTGTTCGGGGGGTCAAATGAGTTAAAATCAGTTAATGCCTGGAAAGCTTTTAGAACAGCACCTGGCTAGAAATAGGTAGTGTAAGTCAGCTCTTATTTTTTGTTGGTATTATTGTCTATGAGTAGCAGGTGTTGATAATATTCAGAGTAATTCCAGATGAAGATGTGATTCTCTGTTACTTCCTTCTTAGTTCCAGTTTGGTTTTAACAGGCTGCTCATTCCCCTTCCTTCCACTTTTTCCATGCTTTTTGGGGTATGTTGATTTTGGTCTTCTAGAAAATGGTATAGAATCCAGATTCATAGATTCACGTGCTTTTTCTTACACAGTCGAATCAAATGGAATCAGGATTCATATTGAAAGCAAACCAATGTCCTATTTTTCTAAAAACCACATGCTTACGCTTTGTTTTTGCCTGGGTAAATCTCAGCCCCTTTAGTCTGATCATTACTCTTCCAGCCTATCGCTGGTGACTCAATTTGTCAAACCCAGTGTCAGAGACTGCTCAGTAGGCAGGACTCCATTTCTAGCCTCTGTCTCTGGTCTGTGACTAGAGAAAGACTGGACACCTTTCTTCAGGAGTAGGAGGGATGCTCCAGCTGGCTATTTCTAGTTGTGGTGCTTAAGTGTGCCTGCCTGACCCTCAGCTGTCAAAGACCATGGGATCCTATTTCGGTTACAGCTGGCATTAAATGCAAGGTATCTATCTGAGACATAGTACAAATTGAAGCTAGTGGTGAGGTCGGTGTGATACATCAGGACTTAATTCTGGTATAACCTTTGCAGTGGTGTGAACTAGATTTCTTCTCACTGAAATCATCTTGAATGATTTTGTTTTCAATAGTCACCTAAAAGATGGTTGTCTTAAATGGGGCCACCAACCATGTAAATTGAGCTGTGTTTGTCAGTGAGTGTTTTGTGTTTGCTTTGAGTGCAAAACAGGATAAAGTGGTAAGACTTTAAGCCTGAAAGGGGGTTATAAATTGATATATATGGCTAGAAGTTAACTAGTTAGAGTTTTTCATGATTCAGCTGAGTGGAAACATTCCATACAATTTATCTGATAATTTACAAAACTAGTTTTAGTTACACTTCTATTTAAGTAATGAAACCCAAGTTTTTTAAATGATGTTAGTGGTACCACTCATTTGTTAATTATGTGGCTAGAAGTTCATTGTCAGTGAAAAATGACACACAAATGGCATGCACAAAAGCTTAAAATAGCTCATCTTCACATCCATGCAGATTTCCTGGGCTCCTTATATGACCTGCTTTCTTACTGGCTGCAGAGAGGAAAACCGAGAGCCCTTTAGGCATTCATTAAGGCTGAACAATTCCTAAATTGTAATGTATTTGTAGTTTTCTGTTCAGTCATATTACTCTCATTACTGCCCAAAGTATTTTCTGTGACTTTAGAAAGGGTGATCATTCTGACATTTTAGAGTGTGTCGAACCGTTAGTACCTTGTTGTGTGGAGCTTCTCAGCTCTTGAGAGTAAAAAAATGCAAGTCACAGCCTGTCTGTCTGAGATGTATCTAGGTTTACTTTCTGACCGGGCTTGTGTCTGATTTTGTTTGTTTCTCAAATACAGAGTTGCCAAATGCTGCTAAATCAGCTGAGAGAAATCACAGGCATCCAAGACCCTTCCTTCCTTCACGAAGCTTTAAAGGTTGGTTTCTAGACTCTGCTTAACAGTTGGCCATATCATAGTCTGTCAGTTCAGGCTATTTTTACACCAGTGAAAGCACATGCAGGAACAGAAGACCTACAGGTCAAATGGTCCAGTTTCTTCAATGTATAAATTGTAAGAGGAGGGTGGGAGCTTATGGTGGGGGAAGCCTGCAGGCCAAGGAGGTTTAAGAATGCCATCACCTGTCTGCATTATGTGGGCCTTATGTGGATCCTGATTGCTACCAGCAAATGAAGAAATCAAGCAGGGAAGTTTGACCTTAAGAACCGCTCTCTGAAGCGGTTGCTGCTGTGAAAGTGTGCTGTTGTACTGAAGCTTTGTGGGTTATGGAGATACACCCTGAAATGGTGCCCAAGGAAATGATAAGATAAGCTTAGCCTCAGAGTAGCTGGCAGGTAGGCAGTACAGATCAAACACTGCTGGGCTGTGTGACCAGTTCGTATCCAAGGCAGGCCATGAGTTCATGAGGCTCTGTGCCTCATTTTACTATTCAATTTTTTTTAGACTATTTCCCAAATAAAAGGTTCAAAACAGATAAGTCACCCTACACGGTCTGGTAGCTCCTCATTACCTTTTCTGTAGAGTCTGGCTTCATTTAGCATCTGTGTTTCTTCCAGGTACCCTTTTGTGACTCATGCCTTAGCTGTTCTGTGGCGTGAGGATTGTGGCCCCTGAAGCTGAGGCTACGTCCATCCAGCAGGACTGTGTGTTTGTTTGCAGGTTGTGGGAGTAGAAACACCTCCCATATTGTCCTATTGCTAGGTGCTTGGTATGCCTCCACACATATCCACATACCTGACACTGCTTTCCTTGCACTTCTGTTCTATGTCCTGCGTTGTTATGCCAGGCTTCCGTAGTGTTGACAGGAAGTATCACCAAAAATCTAACTTACTACTTAGCATAAATTCTCTGGTGCTTTACTTTTGAAATTTCTGTTGTTTTTTTTCCTCCCTTTAGGCCAGTAATGGGGACATCACCCAGGCTGTCAGCCTTCTCACTGATGAAAGAGTTAAGGAGCCCAGTCACGACACGGCTGCTACCGAACCATCTGAAGTCGAAGGCAGTGCTGCCAACAAAGAAGGGTTAGCAAGTGGGTATCTCCTGTCTTGCCTTCTCTGAACTAGCAGAGACAACAATTACTGTGTGATTCCCTGTTGCTCACAGTACCTTTGACTACCTAATTATTGAGCCATTGCTGCGAACCAGGCACGAGTTCAGCTTTTTAGACTTATTTTACATTTATTTATGTGTATGTTTGTGTCTGAGTGTATATTCATGAGTGTTCAGGTGCCTGCAGGACCCAGTGCCCTGGAGCTAGAGTTACAGGTGGTTATAGGCTGCCTGATGTGGGTGTTGGGAACTGAACTCTGGTCCTCTGTAAGAGCAGCAGGGGCTCTTCACTACTGAACCATCTCTTCAGCTCAGGGGCCCTTGCTTTCTGCAGACAGAGCCATCAACTGAGAAGTGTTCAAATACTTGAAGATTATGGGAGACAGTGTTCATTCAGACCACCACAGCTGTGTAGCCCAGGCTAGCCTTGAGTGTTTTCTTCTTTTCTTGACAGGTTTTAGTATGTATGTATTAAGACTTAGGCCAGCTTCATAAAGCAAGTTGAACACTCTCTAGAAAAGTGTGTGTGAGGTTGGATACTCTCTCTTCCTTGGTTGTTTTTATATGTAGCTGATGTTTTACAATGGTAGAGACTATTAACATACAGGTATGGAATATGTTTTTGACTTTGGAATGCTCATGCATTTTTAAATTTTATTTTTTAAAATATTTTAATTATTTTATGTGTATGCATGTATTGCCTATATGTAGGTAAGTGCACCCATGTAGGGCAATGCCCACAGAGGACAGAAAAGCTTGTCGGATCCCCTGGAACTGGAGTTACTGCTCCAGTTGTTAGCTGCCATGTGGGTGCTGGGATTTGAACCCGGGTCTTCTGCAAGAACATTCAGTGTTCTTAACCACTGAGCCATCTCTCCAGCCATTTGTTTGTTTGTTTGTTTATTGTTTGTCAGCCCTTTTTATTGATTTGTTTGTTCATTTGTTCGTTCATTCATTCATTCATTCATTCATTCTCTTGTTGCATATGTATTCACATAGGTGTGGTGTGGAAGCCAGAGGTTGACTTGTGGAATCTTCCTCTATCACTGTTCACTATTTTTTGAGACAGGATCTCTTACTGAATCTGGGGCTCATTAATTGGCTAGGCAGCCGGACCAGCAATTCTCAGTTCTCCTGTCTCTACCTTCCTGGGCTGGGATTGCAGGCATGTGCCACCTCACTCAGCCTTTTAAGTGGGTGCTGGTATCTGAACTCAGGTCCTTATGCTTGAGCAGCAAGCACCTTACCACCTGAGCCATCTCCCCTACCCTGATGCATGTTTTCTAGCTTACTTCTGAACAGTTGGGGAGGATAAGATTACAGTGTAGCTCTAAGTTTGTTAGACTCTGGACAGAGTTAAAAAATTGTTCTTACACAGAAGAGCTATTTATTGTAGTGAAAACTAGGGAATATATCTGGTTCAGGGATCTTTTTACCTTTTCCTTACACTGTAGGCAGAAGAGCAGTTTCTGCATGTGTACTGACTATATTTCTACTTAATAGAAGTGATAGACCTTACGCATGACAACAAAGACGATCTTCAGGCGGCCATTGCTTTGAGTCTACTGGAGTCTCCTAAAATTCAAGCTGATGGAAGGGATCTTAACAGGTTATTGGTTTAATTTATGATCACTGTTCCCCATAATTGCTGTGTTGTGCTGTGCTGTGGGAAAACCACACAGGGTTTATTCTGTCAAGCTCCTTTACTGACACCAAAATAGCATTTCTTTAAGGAGCAATTTTTAGCTTACTTTTCTGTTGGCGTGTTTTTTTAAGATGTGTCCTAGCTCAGTGAGCCTGGAACTTGTGGCACTTTTTCCTCAGTCACTGGAGTGCTGGGACTCCAGGTGTGCTACCACGCTGGCTTTTGGAAAAACTGAGAATAAGGAGGATTGTACTACAGTCTGTAGTCTTTGAATAAAACCCTGCAAATTTTGTTATTTACAGTTGATAAAGAAAAAACAGCAACCTAACCTAAGTATCTGGTCCACATAGATTTTTCTTATCAGCAGAGGGCTATGCTGTTGCCTCAGCTGACCAGGGAATTTTGTTTATGGTGTTTGTCTGGTGTGGTTCACAGACATTCATTTTCAACAGTTCTTTTCAATTCCTTACACTGCTGAGTTTTTCTTTCAGGGACGCATCGAGCTGAGTATTTTGTGCTGGGCAATTTGGAAGCTCATGGCTTAGCACAGTGTCTCTCTTTCTTCTTCAACGGCAGGCCCTTAGATAGGGTACCATGGTTGAAACAAACCTTGTAATGCGCTAGGTGCAGCTAGTCTTAAATCATTTCTGTCATGGACCTTATTAAAAACAGTCTCTGATGTGGAATGATTAAATTTTGCATTCAAACCATGCTATTCCCGTATGTATGATCTTGGAACTGCTACACAGCCAGTATTATTCAGTGGATAGTTTTTCTGGCATTTTGAATCATCTGTGCAGCGTACCAATATCCTCCCTGTGGTAAATTATTCTTTAACTCTTTTCTTTTTTTGATGTGTGGTATGCTGGCCTGTACAGAATACATGAGGCAAATGCTGCAGAAACTAAACGCTCAAAGAGAAAACGTTGTGAAGTTTGGGGAGAAAACCCGAATCCCAATGACTGGAGGAGAGGGGATGGTTGGCCAGTTGGGCTGAAAAATGTTGGCAACACATGTTGGTTCAGTGCTGTTATTCAGGTATGATATTATCACCAGACAACTGTTTCTTCTGAATATAATTTTTTATTTTATTGAACTGAAATGTATGAGTCATAACCTCAAAAAATTTAAAGCAGGGCCAGCAAGGTGGCTCAGTGGGTAAAGGTGCTTGCTACCAAACCTGTTGAGTTTGAGTACTGGGAACCACACAGTAGAAGGAGAGAACCACTCCTCCAGGTTGTCATCTGACCTCTACATACATGCTGTGGTACTTGTACACATGCATATGTGCGTGTACACACACATACACACACACACACAATAATGCAATAAAACAGTTTTTAGAAAGTTAAAACAATTATATAAAACTGGGTAAATTTTGCTATAACATTATTGTGTTTTGGTTACTTTTGTGTGTTTTGGATTTAAATTCTGTAATATCTAAACTGGGCAGTACTGATAATGAGATCTGCAATTATAAATATGTTGAGTTTTGGAGTCAGCAGTTAGTGAGTGCTCTTCAGGGGGACATGAAGTAGAGACATGACAGATGGTGTCCTGGAAAGAGAGAAGTAAAAACATTCTTTTTTGTATTAGAGACAGGGGCGGACTACCTGTACCTCCCAAGTGCTAGGAATACAGGCATATATGCCTATATTGGGTGTGTGTACCACCACACCCAATTGTATGCACAGCTGTTTCATGTATGTGTATATATGTGTATACATGTATCCCAGGGTACTATGTATGCTAGGCAAGCACTTAACCACCGAGCCACATCTCTAGGCCTGTGAAAAAATTCTTGAGATGTTGTTGTGATGAAATATATAGGAGTTAGTGAATGATATCCATAAGAGAGGACTGGGAAAGACTGCAAGGTTTTTAGCGGCTCATGTTACCAGGTGGACTGTAGTGCTGATTGACTCAGGAGGCAGAGTAATTTGGGTATATGATAAAAGGCGATGTCAGGTTGTAGACATACTGAGTTCAAAGCACCTGTGTTTCACATCTGTGGGAGAGGCGGGAAGTGGGGGCATGTGGAAGTTAACTGTGTGCCGTTCTAGTTGAGAAAAAGAGTTATGGGTTGCAGCTAGCACATTGTGGGTCAGTACCATGTGGGTGGTAGTAAAGCCAAGCAGGTGGATGGATTTCTCTAGAGAATAGTGGCTGTCAAAAAATACTTCCCAGGCACCATAAACCTAACATGGCCACAGTGTTGTGCCTTATCCCTGCCTGCAGTCTTGTCCATTAAATAGTTTGTGGCACCTGCCCCGTTGCTCAAGCCAAAACACTTAAAATACACTCAGCTTCCTATGTGCCTGATTAGGACTTGAGAAACAGCAGTGCCTAAAAGAAAGTGTGGACCCTCCTGGAGTTCACTTTGGAAACCGTGGGGCCATAAGTCAGTAATCCATTAAAGAAGTATTTAAGCAGAGGCATGAGGTGGCGAGGGTTTGAACCATGCAGTTCCGTACAGAACATTTATGAGCAGCAAGTAAAATGATCCAAGATTAGGACTTGCTTAAATGTGAGAGATAGCAGGAAAATAGAATTGGCTGGTTATGAATGGAGAGTGAAGCCAAGCATGGCGGAGCATGCCTTTAATCTCAGCACTCAGGAGACACAGGTGAGCAGCTCTCCATGAGATAGAGGTCAACCTGGTCTATGTAGTGAGTTCCAGGCCAGCCAGGGTTACATAGTAAGACCCTGTCTCAAAAAAGGAAAAAAAAAAAAAAGTAGAGAGAATGGGAGGCGAGGGAGATGACTGAGCATATGAAGGTGTCTACTGCCACCAAACCTGACAATTTGCGTTTGATTCCTGATTTCCAAGTGGTGGAAGGAGAGAACCAGCTCCTGCAAGTTGTCCTCCAACTTCCACACATGTCCCCTGAAAGAAAAAAAAGAAAAACAGAATGGAGAGTGAAACCAGGTGTGTGGTGGTTCATTCTTGCAATCCCAGCACTTTTGAGGCTTGAGGCAAAAGGATTGCCACAAGTTCAAGGCCAGCTTGGGCTACGTAGTGAATTCCAAGTCAGCTGAGACTTGTGAGACTCTATCACATGCACAGAAAAATCTCTTTTAATTAAAGAAAAAAAATGTAGAAAGGTATTGTGGAATTGGGGACATTAGTCAGTTATTTCCTGTGCCTGTCCGTCTTGTTGGTATGTGGAAACTAACAGGCACCTGAATTTTCATCGTCCCCAGCCTTCACAGTTGTGACATGAATCCTACGTTTTCTGTGAAGTAGCTTTCAGTCATTTTATTGTGAAAGGAGAAATGATAGATTGGTTTTGAAATAGTTATTGGAGGTTTTGGGAAACCAATTGATACTAAAATACAATACACATTGAGCATCTCTAATGTAAAAATTCAGAACCGCAGATCTCTAAAATCTAAAGCTTTTTGAACATTTCAGATATTTGAATTAAGAATGCTCAACTGATAAAGTCTGTGCAAATATTTTAAAGTTGAAAAGACCCCAGAGTCTGAACCACTCCTTGTCCTGAGCCTTTTACATGGGTGATACTCAGCCTCTAGTGGGATTTCCAGAAAGAGGCTACTTGAGGTTGTTGACTTAAAATGACGATGGTGTTGCTGTGTACTGTTTTTTGTTTTTAATTTTATTATTTTTATTTTATGTCTATGAGTGTATTGCCTGAATGTATGTGAGTGCACCCAGCAATGCCGAGGAGGTCAGAAGACAGCTTAAGATTCCCCCAGAACTGGAGTTAAGGATGGTTCGTAGCCACCATGTGGGTGCTGGGAATCGAACCTGGGTCCTCTGCTAGAGCAGTCAGCACTCTCAACCGCTGAGCCATTGTGGATCGCTCTCCGACAGGTAGGGCACAGGGAGAGAGGCCAGGACCAGCCTGTGTTCCTCTTTGGGGCTGAGCGGGATGGTGAGTGTCGGCGACTCAAAAACCACACCGAGTCGGGAGTCTTGTCAAGGCAGGAACTCACTTTATTGTGTCAGGCATCAACTTATATAGTGTAAGCAAAGGGGGTGTGGAAAAGGGGGTGGGTATGGGAATGTGTCATCTGGGGTGAAGACTGTGGGCCACTGGGAATTTACCACGCCAGTTGTTACTGGGCAGAGGCAATCTTAGATAGGGCCCTGCTGAGTCACCTCCACACGGAAGTGACAGGCCAGAGACAGGTCGCTAAACTTTAGCCTGGCTTATGAAATTATATTAGGCCTCATTTTCCTCCATGCCGTGTGTATGAGGGTCCCGAAGGCCCAACGAGCCATCTCTCCAGCCCCTTGTGTACTGTTTTAAATCAGGGTTTTATTTTAGCTGTGGAACATTACTTCATTTAGGTTGGAGGATACAGGTTGAAAGGACAAAGGGCTAGCTTAAGGGTTTAAGTGGAGTAGCTAAGAGCCAGGCATGGTGGTACATGCCTGTAGTCCCAGCACTCAGGAGGCTGAAGCAGGAGGATCATGAGTTTGAGACCAGTCTTCTCTACATAATGTTCTCTTATAAAATAGATATATAGAGTATGTATGACAGAGGATAGTCAACCAGTGTACTTACCACTTACCTTAAGAAATGAATATTATAGGGACTGAAGAGATGGCTCAGCAGTTAAGAGCACTTGCTGTATAATCGTGAGGACCAGATTGTGGAACCCAGCACCCATACAAGTCAGGCATCCAACATTTGCCTATAACCCCAGCTGGAAGGGAGGTATAGGCAGGAGGATTGCTGGGACTTGCTGCCTTCCAGCCTACCTGTGAAAATGTCACTAGGTGCAGGGAGGGACCCCCAACTCAAAGAACTAGGTATAGAATGGTAAACAGGAACACCTGACACCCTCTTTTGTCACAGGCACAACACAGCCACCCTCCCACCCCACTCCCCACATATGCATACACTCTGTGTGCACAGGCATTCCCACCCAGCCACCCACACGTATGCATACACTTGTACAGACATAAATAAACAAGTAAATTTTTGAAAAAAATGAATATTATAAATCCATTTGCTGTTGTCCTGTCACCTCCCTCCCATACAGACTTCCAACCACACGTTTGTAGCCTCGAACAATATACTGGGTTATAGTCTTAAATTTAGCAAATTTAGTATTATACATTTCTGTAACTTTTTAAAGACAGGGTCTTTTTAATGTATTTTTATTAAATGTTTGTGGATTTCATATGATATATCTTAATCATATTTATCCCCCTTCCCTATCTGCATCCCCCTCCATAGCCTGCCCACTGGATTTCATGCATTCTGTCATATATATTAAGGCCTCTTGAGTCATGTTTGTATATTCAGATGTCCTTTGGCATGAGTTATCCACTGTAGCCTGTTTAGCCTATGTAGTGTTGGCTAGCCCTAGAACTTACTATCTAGTCCAAGTTTGCCTTGAACTTGAGGTAATCCTTCTGCCTCAATATCCTAAATGGTAAGTTTAGAGGCCTGAGCTGCCATGCCCACCTTCTGTAACTTTTTCACGCTGAGATTTCTGAGATTTATTCATGTTGGTACATAGTTCTTGTTAATTCGTTGTTAAGGCTGCACAGTAGGTCATTTTATGAAAGTATTTTTATAATATTCTTTTCAAAAAAGATTGCTTTTTATGTGTGTCTGATTGTCTGTATGTTCACCACATGGGTGCGGATACCCAGGGATTCAGAAGAGAATGTCAGATCCCCTGGACCTGGCATTATAGGCAGTTGTGATCTGCCCATTGTGGTTGCTGAGACCAGACTCTGGTCCTCTGCAAGAGCAGCAAGTGCTCTTAATTGCTGAACCATCTTTCCAGCCCCTAGAATATCATTTTAGTGACTCATAATTGTTTATTATTATATGTATGTACTTGTATATGTATATACATACATATATTTGTATGAATTTATTGTTTCTTCTGTTCCTTTTTTAGGTCTTAATTGTTTATTTAAAAGAATAAACATTCTTACTGTTTTGTGTGTAACCATTATTATTTCCATAGAAATAATAGAATTGCTAAGTTGACAGTTATACATTTTTTAAAATGAAAGAACATACTTATTTTACTCATTAGTTTGAGCTGGATCTCACACTGTAGTGTAGATTGGCCTGAAACTTACTGTGTATCCCAAGCTGGCCTTAGACTCACAGCACTCCTGAGTACTGGGATTGTAGGCCTAGCCGCTTATGCCTGATTTTGAGATCCTACACCTTGTAATTACACAGGCCTGTAATCCCAGCTGTTGGGAACCTGAGGCAGGAGGATTAGTAGTTCAAGAGGCCAGCCTAGATTACCTAACAAGTCTCTGTCTCAAAACCAAATTGCTGCAGTTATTTTGAAAGAAAAACTATGAATTTCTTTCTTTCAGTCTCTCTTTCAGTTGCCTGAATTTCGAAGACTTGTTCTCAGCTATGGTCTTCCACAGAACGTACTTGAAAATTGTCGAAGTCACACTGTAAGTTGGTGCTGAGGACTTTCCACCCTTGTTTCCCTTTCATCCTTGGTCTTTCAGTGCTGGACTAAAGATGATAACTGATGGTGTTTGCTTGTGGTGATATATATTTCCATTTCCAATTTGCTCTTCCTTTTTGATAAGAAGTAAGGGTTCACTAAATTGTCCAGTTAAGTAGAATAAAGCAAGGAAAATGGTTCCAGGAAAGTGTGGTGGGCCACTGTGCTAACTGCAGCTGCGCTGCCCCTATGGGAACACTCAGAACTGGTGTTCTCTAAGTGATGCTCTCCTGCCATTGGCTACTTGGGTCACGGGATGCATAGCAGATCCCTGAGGCAGAGGCCTGACCCTTCTTAGAGATTTCAACCCTTTCATCACACCATCTCGCCCTTCTAGCATGCTACCTTGCTGTAGTGCGTTCTGATGAATGAGGGCAGCAGCTACACAAAAAGGACTTCTCTGTGTTCTTCACAATCCTTCCTGGATCCTACGTTAGTTACTCTGTGTTTTAGAGTAACTGTGCAGTCCTTAGCTCTCTGGGTGGTAGTCAGAGGGCCAACTGACCTAGAACTTGGTAAATATGAAATAGAGAGTGATTATTGACAGGTCTTCTTTTTAAAGCCATCTCTTCAGCCCCTAAACTTTTCAAATAAGGTCTTATCAAAGTATACATGGCTATATTTTCTATAGGAAAAGAGAAACATCGTGTTTATGCAAGAGCTTCAGTATTTGTTTGCTCTGATGATGGGATCAAATCGAAAATTTGTAGACCCTTCTGCAGCCCTGGACCTGCTAAAGGGAGCCTTCCGATCATCAGAGGAACAGCAGGTACTCAGGACCCTTGTTTCTTGTTTTATTTCAAATTCTGGCATTTGAAGTCATCCCTTGTAAATGCGATACTGCTATTTTAATTATGATTGTGTAACAAGCTGTGAGCATAGCTAGGCAGGATGACTGTTACCTTCTTTTGCCCTTCATTTTGCTTCCAGAAGATGTAGTGAGAGGAAGTACAAGCTTGTTTATACATGAGTGAGAGAATTGCATAGGGCAGGCTGCTCTAAAGGTGGTAAGAAACAGCTGGGTGTGGCGGCACATGCCTTAATCCCAGCACTCAGGAGACAGAGGCAGGAGGATTGCTGCAAGTTGGCAGCCACCCTGATCTACATAGTGAGTTCCAGGTCATCCAGTACTACATAGCAAGGACTACATACTCTGTCTCCAAAAACCAGTGTTGTGGGGGAAAGAATAGTAGAGTTAACAGAGGCAATTGAAGCAGAAAGAAGTTTGAAGATCCTTCAGTGAGCCACAGCAAAAGGTTAACTGAGCAAAGTTCTTTGGTGGCCCAGATAGAATTCTTGTTTTGGTTTGGGTTTTTTTGAGACAGGGTCTCATTATTTAACCCAGGCTGGCCCTGAATGCCTGATCTTCCCACCTCAGTCTCCTGAATCTGGGATTACAGGCCTGCATCATCACTCTGGGACAGAAACCCTATTTAAAAGAACTTAGGTTTCTTTAAATGGAAATCTGAGTTCGCAACCTTTCTGAGCATTCTTCCCTTTGGTCCTTGTGTCTCTTTCCCTACCTCCCACTAAGCTCAGAGCTGTTGGAGCTTCTTCCTCTTGTACAGTTTAAAGTTGCTCTCCACTTAATGGCCACACAGCTAAGCACTATTCTCAGAACATTTTGTAAAAATTACGTTTAGGGGCCTAGAGAGATGGCTCAGCAGTTAAGAGCACTGGCTGCTCTTGCAGAGGATCTGGGTTCAATTCCCAGCACCCACATGGAAGCTAACAGCTGTCCTAACTGCAATTCCTGGTGATCCAACGCCCCACAATGTGTATTTACATACATGCAGACAATACACTCATACACATAAAATAAAAATAATAAATAAAATATTTCTAAAAGTTATGTTTCTCCATTTAGATCTCACAGCATTCTAGTGAACTGTAGTCGTTCTTTGGGCTGTTTTTAGAAAGGCCCAGTTGGAAGATGGTGTTTGTTGGCAGGCCCAGCAGAGCTCCACTTCCTTCCTGGTCTAGCTTAGTCAGGTCACCTTAATGCCCTTGCTCTTTGTCCCTAGCCACTGGGTTCCACTGTTGTTGTGTCTTTTTGAAGTCTGGCCGTTAAAAAGGAAATGATTTCATAGGAGTTGAATCTTAATTTGTTCATGGGATTAAAGGCAAACCTTCATTGCCCTGAGTACAGTATTGCATCTAACTTACTGCAATTTGTGCCTCTCTTGTAGCAAGATGTGAGTGAATTCACACACAAGCTCCTGGATTGGCTGGAGGATGCGTTCCAGCTAGCTGTTAATGTTAAGTGAGTGTTGAGGGTTTGTCTGCACATCCTTCCTACTCACAGTGGCCACTGAGAGTTATAATTGATGGGGAGTCACCCTTTTCAAGTAAAAATTGCTGCTGACCAAACTTCATGGTGACTACTGACACTCCTCTTGTGTAGCTCCAGTTTGGTGTTCCCTCTGGGGATCTAGACTGACCTTAATCTGCAGCCTGCAGTCCCCTTTTTTGTTGTTAACTAAAAGACCCCTGACTAACTGCCTGTGTTGTAAGATGTGTTTAGAAGCAGTAAATGGGTCTCAGATGTGAATGTGGTGTATGATATGGAGCCGTTAATTTGATGTAGGGCACTTGTGGAGTCTGCTTAGCATGTGCGGAGGATGGGGATCAGTCACTTCAGTCCTGACAGAGGTGAAAATCAGGACAGCAAGGACATGCATCCTATGCTCATTGCAAATGCTGAGAACCCGCTTTTCTAAATAGCTAACTCTAAGTTGAAGAACCAAGTACCATAAAATAGTTTGCAACTAGTGACTTGCATAATTACAATTTAGGATAGACTTTAGGAAAAAATAAATTGTATCCTCTTTTTATTATGCTACTGCAAAAACTTTGGTATTTATTTGTGAAACTTGGGCTGGAGAGATTGCTCAGTGGTTAAGAGGACTGGTTGCTCTTTCAGAGGACTGGAGTTCAGTTCCCAGCACCTACATGGTGACTAACAACCATCAGTAACTCCAGTTCTTGGGCATCTGTTGCCCTTTGCTCTGTGCAGGCGTTGCATGCATGGATGCATTTACATATATTCAGGCAAAACACTCATCACATAAAATAAACTTTTTTTAACTAACAAAAAAAAAAAAAAAAAAAAATTTTTTTTAAAAAAAAAAAAAAAAAAAAAAAAAAAAAGCTCCAGGAGAATTTGTTGTTTACTTCTGTGCCATGTATATGTGTGTATATGTATCATCTGGCATAGCTATATAGCTGTAGATATCAAATGATATGCATCCACATAGTTGTCAGCATGTGTGGCTCCCCTAAAAGACTGAAGACTAAAGTGCCTAAGGTCAGGGTTCACTCGTAACTGACTTTGGCTTCAACAGTGCCAGGCATACTCTGTTGTCAGTAAATGAGCTGCACTCAGCCGTTATAGACCTTTACATGCCTTAGGCTCTACCTGGTTCTTTATGGGTAATAAAATTGAACTGTTTCTGGTTTTGAATACGCTGGGGTTTTGTGAACACATTCTTGATCCAAATGATATAGAATTGCCTCTCTCTTAAAATAGCAGCAATCCCAGGAATAAATCTGAAAATCCCATGGTGCAGCTATTCTACGGTACTTTCCTGACGGAAGGGGTTCGAGAAGGTAAATTCTTTGTCCTGAATGTTCATTCTAGATCTGTGACTGTGTCCTTGCTGCTGAGTCCTTTCAGGGAATAGTAAATAAACGGACTTTGGAGTCCAATAAACTCTGGATTGAGTGCTGGCTCTGGCTCTTGTCTTTGTGATTGTGGACAAACTTTGTGAGCTCGAGTCCTCAGTCTCTTCATCTGTGCACTGGGCATAGTCTCTGTTGAGAATTGTGCTAAATATTAAATCATGTGACATCCGCATTGATGTCACAGAGGCAGTGATGTCACTTAATTTTTATCTGTTGCTTTTCCTGATGTAACGTCTAATCTCAAAAGATTTAGTGGCATCAGACTGTCAGAAATGTTTGTCTACTGTAAAGGTTTATCTAAACTGTATGGTGGACACATAATTTTTAATTAAAAGAAAAAAATTTTAAAGACAGTCTCCCTGTAGCCCCAGCTGACCTGGAACTACTTCTGTAGACCGGGCTGGCCCCAATCTCACAGAGATCCCCCAGCTTCTGCCTGGGATTAAAGGCATACTTTTTTTATTTTTAACTACAGAATTTTGAACCCAAATAGAACAATATCAAAACCCTCAGGAACCCAACAATCAGTCAGTGGGCAGCCTTTTCCCACACAGCCCTGTCTCCTCTTACCTCATTCTTTCTCATCTTTACTATTGGTTTGCGTTCATGTTTTGGTATAGTTTGTTAGAGTTTGTGGGTTTGCTGTGTTGTTGGAGACAGGGTCTTGCTATGTAACCCCAGCTGGTCTAGAACTAGTTATGGAGAGTAGACTGGCCTTGAACTCACAAAGATTTGCCTGCCTCTACCTCCCCAGTGCTGAGATTAAAGTGTTCACCACCATGTCTGTTATTTCTTGAAATAGGGTCTTACACTGTAACCTAGGCTGGCCTGGAATTCCCAGTGTAGCCTGGGCTGACAGCAGACTCACAGCAACCCTCCTACATTAGCCTCGTGAGAGTTGGGATTACTGGCATTAGCCATCATAACTGGGCTTAATTTTTTAAGTGTATTATTTATTTTTGGTATTGGGGACTGAACCCGGAGTTCATGGTTGCCAAGCCCACATCCTTGCTAAACTATACTGGCAGATACTAGTAATCTTTTAAGAACAAACCAGGACCATTGCTTCTCCAAAGATGGGCATGTTAAATATCAAATATCTACTTAGTTTTAAATTTTTCAATTTTTATGCATAATTAAACGTTGTTTATTTGTTTGTGTGTGTGTCAGCACATTTCTGGTGTACATAATGGAGGCCAGAGGACAACTTTGTGGACTGAGTTTTCTCCTTTCATCTTTATGTGAGTTCCGGGGATTAAACTCACGTTGTCAGACTTCTACAGCAAGTGCCTTTACTGACTGAGCTATCCTGCTCGCCCTTGTATACATAACTTAAAAATAGACCAGGCTGGGCTGGGGAGATAGCTTGGGTCAGTAATTTGCTCTCAGAAAGTAAGATGGAAAGGTAATTAAGGAGGACATCCTAATGTCAACCTTTTGCCTCCATGTGTGTTGGCTCAGTGAGTGCATTTACACTTACACACATGTACCCCGTGCAGACAAACACATGCACAGTGGCCCAGGCTGACCTGGAAATTCTAGCTCAGCCTCTGAATTTGTTTTAATCAATATTCAAGTTTTTTTTTTTTTCCTGTGCTGGGACAGCAACCCAGAAATGACAGAAGAGGGCATTAGATCCTATGGAATTGGAGTTACAGGGAGTTGTGAACTTCCTGATGTGGGTTTTGGGAACCGAATCCTGGTCCTCTGCAACAGCAAGTGCTCTTAATCACTGAGCCATCTCTCAAACCCCACTGATTGCTTTTCTTTTTATAGTGTCAGTGATTGTTGATTGCTCATGTAACCCCCCCAGTATATTGGAAGTTGTCAACTGGGCTTAAGTGTATTTCTAAACAGCTCTTGGGAGGATACAGTGTTTTAGAAGATGCTGCCTCAGTTGAGCCGGAAAAGTAGATGGTAGTGAGACTTTGAAAATCAATCTCAATGCACACCTCTCTCTCTCTCTCTCTCTCTCTCTCTCTCTCCCTCTCTCCCTCTCTCTCTCTCTCCCTCTCTCCCTCTCTCCCTTCCTTCCTAGGAAAGCCCTTTTGTAACAACGAGACCTTCGGCCAGTACCCTCTCCAGGTAAATGGTTATCGCAACTTAGATGAATGTTTGGAAGGAGCCATGGTGGAAGGTGAAGTTGAGCTGCTCCCTTCTAACTGTTCAGTGAACTATGGGCAAGAGGTAAGATGTCAAGTTTTATTTGCTTTACCAGTGACAGAGCCACTTAAGTAGGGCTGTACATCATATGCTGGGTAACCTTAGACTGAACAGAGTTTGAGTTTGTCTACCTGTCTCATCAATTGGTACAAGTCAATGAGTCTTCGTGCTTTGATAAAGAAGTTCTTTGTGAAAACTCTGACTTTGAGTTGCTCGTGTAAAAGCTGTTGCTGCTGCTGCTGCTGCTGCTTTCAGTATGATCAGGTTTGTTTCTGTTGAAGCCAATCTGCACCAGAGTAGGGAGAACACACTGCCTCCGTATTTTTGGAGGGTAAAAGGGATTTAACTCTGTGGTATGCCATTTAGAATATTTTTGCTATTACACTATTTATTGTTCTCAGTTGTTAAATTTGCCTTTTACATTTTTTAAATGTAATTTTCATTTACTTATGTGGAATTCTTATTTTTTAATGAGTTGGGAAGAAAGTGGAGGTAACAGGAGGGTAACTAATATCTTGATGTTCCAATTAGGTAGGAGTTAGTGAATAGTATTTGTAGTGTAATTGTCAACACTACACCATTTGGATTATTCCCCATTCATCAAACGTTTTCAGACAGAATTGTGGTTTATGTAGCAGAACTCAAGAATTGCTATAAGAGAAACTGAATTAAAATTGGGAGCCTAACATGTCTTAAGAAGGTACATTAGCTTTAGAAAGAACTGGACCTTGGAGAGAGCTTCCTCCTCAGCTTCTCAAAGGAAGAACTGATTCTTAGCAGCTCCTAACAGGAGGCACGTATCTGTGTAACCTGACGCTTTGTCTGAGGAAAGAGAATGGCCACTAGGTACTCAACATTCAGGGATACGAACTCTGTAAAAACAAAACCTAGCTGAAGGCATTATACTTGTTATTTAGATTTAACCCCAAAGAGCCAAGCATGGAGGCTCAAGCTTGTAATCCTAGCGCTTGGGAGACAAACAGGAAGATTGCTGAGAGTTTGAAGCCAACCTTGGCTACCTAGTGAGTTCCCAGCAACCCTGGGCTACAGAAAATAAGACTGTCTCAAGAAATAAACAAGAAAGATAAAAGATTTTTCTGTGAGGTAGTCAATCAAGGTCTTCATTCTGTGCTCAAAGGGCTTTTGAAGGGAGCACCATTGAACTTTTGGTAAAAGAAGTGTTGAAAACCGCCCTTAGGAGCCTGTGGCATGTGGAGAATTGTGCAGAAGTGCCTCCTCAAGGCAGCCTTTTCTCAGCTAGCATCACTTACAACTGAAATTTTTTCTTTTTCTTCTTTTTTTGTTAATTATTTATTTAATAACCACATACTTAGAAGAAGCATTTCATTACAACAGCACTGACATATTCAATAACAATTTTCTGAGCTAAGATGCATCTTTTTCAGAATTGGCTGTAAATTTTTAGGCTTACAGTTGAATTATTACACTTATATAATCTTTTACTCATTATAAACTCTACAAGACATAAAATTAAATGAGGTTCCATCGTTTAAAAAAGATCTCCACTTCCTTGTCAAAACACACAGTTTCATACAGAAAAATTCATTCCAAGCCTATTGACATTGAGACATTTTCACATGCATTTCTAATCTCTATAAACATGACTATCACTGGTCACAGTCGCCCACCTTCTGAGCTCCTCGGCATCTGAGCATGATTACAAACTCATCAGATAGACAGCCTTCCTCTCCCACTAGAGGCTCCATACTCTGCCATCCCTGTCACTGTCCACTGTGTTGTCAGCACCCTCATCCATTCCCCCTGTCTGTCCTTCTGGTAAATCTAGTCAGCCAGAGGTCCCTGTTCCAGGAGGGTCAGCTGTTCCTCATCTACGGCAATCCATTGTCAGTATTCCTTTGGATAGA